TTGCCCAGGCTGGTCTTGAACTCCTGGGCTCAAGTGATGCACCTACCTTGGCCTCGCAAAGTCCTGGGATTATAGGTGTGAGGTACTGTACCTGGCCTGGTTTGTTCTTTTGGCAACACCTGTTACTCTAGAGCTGAGAACTTCCTTTATCATGCATTGTGGGATGCCCAGCTCCTAGAGTGCGTGCTTACCACGTGACCCACCAGGAAGGTCAGCTACCCCTTCATCAGATCCTCCAGGAGCACTTTCTCTGGGCCAGGCACTGTGCAAAGCTTTGTTTACTGTCTCCAATTGTTCACTGTCTCCAATTTAATCCTCCTAAGGAGGCTGTGGGTTAGGCATTCTCTGCTCCAGTTTACACATAAGGAGCCTTAGGCTCAAAGGGAGGAAGTTCCTTGGTGAAGGCTGCACAGCTAGTAAAGGCTGCTGGTGGGAATTCAGACCCTGATCTGCCTGCCTGCCCCAGGTACACCCTGAGGTTGTCCTTGGCAATGCTGCCAAGTGACAAATTGGAGGCCTAGGGGCAGCCACCTCATGACTCACTGAGCATTGAGTAAAGGGAAACAACCCTTCGTCTCCTATCACTAGCTTTTCTGCTGAACTTGTCACAACCCCAAGCTGGCAGTTTACCATAAGGACAAGTCCTCCAGGTGGACTTCGAGAGGGGACTGGAGGGCAGTGCCTGGTCCTCATTCTGTGCCTCGGCTTCATCACCTTACTTTAACTGACTCATGGGGCTATTGTGTTTAGAACAGGGCCTGGAACATAGTTTCGTGCTCAATAAGTATTAGTTATTATTTTCTCAGACTATCATTGGGAAAGCTTCCACTAAGTTTTAGTGAATTCTTTTTAAATTTCTTTTTTTATTTAGAGATGGGGTTTTACCATGTTGTCCAGGCTGGTCTCAAACATGTAGGCTCAAGTGATCTGGCTGTCTCAGCCTCCCAGAGTGGTGGGATTACAGGCAGGAACCACCACGCCAGGCCATTTTAGTGAATTCTTGTTACAGCCATTAGAGCACCACTCACTGCCTTTGCCTTTGCCTCTAGATATGGGGGCGCTTCTTGTTGGGGGTCCACAACCCCCTAAGCTTGGACACTGAGTGCATATTACAACTTGGGAAATATCTCATTTATGTCCAGTATCTCATTTGAGCTAGTTGAAGCCTCGGGCTGTGTGTGTGCAAGACTCTCCCAGGGTCAGGTACGAACTGATACCATTTCTGGAGCAGCCTCATCAGAGGAGACGTGACTCTAGGGTACTCTGGTATGGGATTTGGAAGGAGGCCCCCTGACCCCGGGCTGCTCTCTCCCGTTGTTCCTGCTGTCATGTGCTGAGCCCTTCCTTCCCCCTCCTCAGCTGAGAACAGCACCAACACCACCCAGGATGAGCAGCACACGTGGCCGGGCTGTGGCCAGCAGGACAAGATGCTCAACCTGGGCTTCACCATTGGTTCCTTCGTGCTCAGTGCCACGACCCTGCCACTGGGGATCCTCATGGACCGCTTTGGCCCCCGACCCGTGCGGCTGGTTGGCAGGTGAAGGGGCTGGGCTGTGGGGAACTGGAGGATAGGGACCCTGCTGCAGGGGGAGGGGAGGCTGGGTGCTCACTTCCCTGTGTCTCCACAGTGCCTGCTTCGCTGCATCCTGCACACTCATGGCCCTGGCCTCCCGGGACGTTGAAGGTGAGCTGTCTGTCCTCTTGTGGCCCCACAAGGAAAAAGTAGGTGGAATGAAGGTGGATGTTTACCCCAGCTCCTGCCCTTGGCATCCCACAGCTCCCCAAATGCCCTCATCTGCCCCTCTCCCCCTTCCAGTTCTGTCTCCGTTGATATTCCTGGCGCTGTCCCTGAATGGCTTTGGTGGCATCTGCCTAACGTTCACTTCACTCACGGTGAGTGTTACAGGGCTGGCCTGGCAGCAGGGTTCCCCTGAGTGGGCTGGGGGAGGGGCCTGTGGCCGTAGATCACTAGATCCAAGTGCATGTGTGAGAAACTGTGCAAGTGGCTGTGAAGGGCGGGTGTGAGGCTGTGTGTGTGTGGATGAGGCTGTGTGTGTGTGTATGTACAGAGCCCATGAATGTCTGCGAAGCTCTGTTCTAGGTACTGGAGTACAGCACAATCAGGACTGATCATGCCATCCTCCCTGCCGGAGGTTACATTTCGGGGGTGAGGGGCACAGACAACCCAAAAAACAAGTAAACTCATAAATTATGTCAGTAGTCGTAGGTGCTGAGAAGAAAATAAAACTGGATAACATGATCGTGATGGGGAGGAAGCAGCTCGAGACAGCGTGTGTACGCCTGCCATGTCTTGGGAGAGTGGGTGTGTGACCCTGTCTCTGTGTAAGCCATGAGTTCATAGGTGTGTTTGTGAGCGTACTAAGTTGAACCATATGAAATTATCAACACCTCGCCGCGCTTGATTTATAAAAACGGCTTTTGCACATGGCCTGACCTATTACATGTGTGTGAGTTGTGTATGTGTGTTGCTCTAAGTTTGTATATTTATGTGAGTGTGTAAAAGCGTTAAAGGCTTAGGAGTGTCAGGAGGGTGAAGGGGAAGGTTCGTGGCTGGGCTAGCTCGGACTGTTTATCTCCGAGAAGGGCTGCCTGACTAGGTGGTTTTGGCAGAATTTCACCTTGCCCCAGCAGCCGCCTTTAATTCCAACCGGGGACATTTCACAACTCTGAAGGAAGGAAGCGGATCCCTTTCTCCCCGCCCCTCTGCGCAGTCCCTTCTCCCTGCTGTGCAACTTGGCCCAGAGCCCTAAATCCCTTCTCCCCGGGGCTTGACCTCAGACCCTCCCCGGCGGCCTGGTGGGGCGTGGCCAGCGGCTCCTCCCTGCTACGGCCCTGCCTCCTGTAATCTCCAGCCAATGGCAGGGCCCGGCGCCGTCCCCGCCCCTCAGCCCCTCCCCCTCTCACTGGCCGGCCCCGCCCCCTGGGCCCCTGCGCTTGGCCCAGACTTGGACCAGGACATCCCGTGCTGCATCCTGCGGGCCCAGCTGCTGTTGCCACGCGCGCTGCAAGGCCGCCAGCCCGGGGTTAGCCGGCCGGCCTCGCCCCACCCATGGTGCTGGGCGGAGACAGGGTCCGTGGCCCCTTGGAGGGGAGAGGGCTCTGCCCGTCTCCAGATTTGGCACCCTTCCCTGGCGTCCTTGGCTGCCTCACAGATGCAGAATGCCAGGGAGACCTCTGCTTAAGTGGGTAGAGGTTTTTCCTGAGCCACTTCGCCGGGGAGGGGAAAGGAGAATTTAGTTATTTGTGTTTAAACAGTTTTTTTTTTTTTTTTTTGAGACGGAGTCTCGCTCTGTCTCCCAGACTAGAGTGCAGTGGTGTGATCTCGGCTCACTGTAACCTCCACCTCCCAGGTTCAAGCAATTCTCCTGCCTCAGCCTCCCGAGTATCTGGGACCACAGGCACACAGCGCCACACCTGGCTACTTTTTTGTATTTTAGTAGAGACAGGCTTTCACTGTGTTGCCCAGGCTGGTGGCCAACTCCTGAGCTCAGGCAATCTACCTGCCTCAGTCTCCCAAAGTGCTTGGATTACAGGCATGAGCCACCGCACCTGGCCTAAACACCTTTACCAGACCTGTTGAGGTCTCCCTTCAGGGTCTCAGTTTCCCCTTCTGTGGAGTGGGTTTAGGGTTTGTACAACTCCTAAGGTCTTTCCCAGCTGTGGGATCTAGTGACCTGGGGAGGATGGTGGGGCCAGAGGAGGGTATGTGTGTGTAAAGGGCATCCTGACTTTGCCTTCCCTTGCCCTGAGGGCCGGGCAGAGGCAGGTGAGTGGAACACATGATCCATTAATTTTCTCCTGGTGGGGGTTCTGGTCCTGCTCAGCGTCAGAGCCACCTCCTCTGGAGACCTGGTCAGCCCCCACTCCGTTCCCTCCCTTATTCCCACCCTCACCTCCCAGGACATGATTGGTCCTGATTAAGCAGAAACTCCGCCAAGAGGGTTAAGAGGCACGGCCTGTTACGGGGACACAGCCGTGGCCACAGCCTTGGGTTAGGACTGGGACAGTCACAATGTGGAGAAAGTCATTCATGTGCTCTGTGAACTTGAGTACACTTTTTCTACCTGGGTCTCAATTTTCTCATCTAAACTGGGTTGGAACAAGATCAGTGTTTCTTTTTCTTTTTTTTTTTTGAGACATAGTCTCAGGCTAAAGTGCAGTGGCACAGTCTCGGCTCACTGCAACCTCCACCTTCTGGGTTCAAGTGATTCTCTTGCCTCAGCTTCCAGAGTAGCTGGGATTACAGGCACTCAACACCACACGCAGCTAATTTTTGTATTTTTGGTAGAGATGGGGTTTCACCATGTTGGCCAGGTGGTCTTGAACTCCTGACCTCAAGCTACCCGCTGGCCTCGGCCTCCCAAAGTGCTGGGGTTACAGGTGTGAGCCACTGCACCCAGCCAAGATCAGTGTTTCTTAAACACCTATTGCATGCGTTGTTCAGACGTGCTGAATAAAAGGGCTCCATAAACAACAAACTTGGGAAATGCTGGGATTAAACAAAATTAACCAAATGTCTCTTTGAGGACACATCTGGAGCCTTATGGAAGCAGAAGGGCACTGTGAGTGTGTAGGCAGGGGGCAGAGCACAGTTTCCCACATTGATTTTTCTGTTTGCTTGTTTGGCCTTGGGGCTTTTCTGCTGCATATCCTGGGGCTGTTGCTGGGAACGCTGGGCAAGGGTCAGGATGTCCCCTGCTCATGGACGCTACTTTACCCCATCAGCTACCCAACATGTTTGGAAACCTGCGTTCCACGTTAATGTCCCTCATGATTGGCTCTTATGCCTCTTCTGCCATCACCTTCCCAGGAATCAAGGTATGGAGCTGCTTGAGGGGCCAGTGAGGCCCCCTGGGTTTTCTTTTTGTCTTGACACAAGAACTGGGTGGGGCAGGGTGAGCAGCAGCTACTGCTGACCCCCGGGTCTGACTTCTCTGCTCTCCTTTCTGTCATACCAGTGCAGGCCTTCCCCCTCTCTCCTGGGCAAAGGCAAGCTTTCTCAGCTGCTCTCCCTGCCTCTGATCCTTTTTCTCTGCAGTCTGTTACTCATATGACTTCCAGAAGTATCTCAGATGGAGAACAGGCTCACACACTGCTGAAAAACCTCCAGTGGTTTAGCTTCACCTACAGAATCAAGTCCAGCCTCTTTTCAGGCATTCAAGGACCCTGACTCTTTGGCTTCATTCAGCCTTTGGGGCCACATTTTTCCACACCTTCCAGAGGCTGGGTGGTTTGGTCCAAGTCACAAAGTTAGTTTATGCCAGGCTGGACCCTGGGCAGGTAAACCTGATGTACCTGGAAGCTAGCAGACCAAAGTTTTAGCTCAGTGCAAGCTGGGAGCCTCTGTTTCCTCTGTCAAATATCAAAGCATTCTTTAAGCCATGCTCCTCAACCTCCACTGTGGGCAATTATTTTGTTATTTTAGAAGGTACTTTTGCTCAGCATCTCCAGAGGAGTTTGAGAGAGTACATGGGTGGGGGGCCATCGGTTGTTCTGGTGGCAGGCATGGAGAGCGGGCAGTTCTCCCTTCTTTTCAACTGAAGTAGTGTTTGAGGAGCCAGATCTTACCCTCCACACATTTGGTGGTGTGGCCCCTTTGAAGCTCTATCCTGTACCCAGGGAGGGAAAGGCCCCATGGTCCAAGACTGCAGAGAAACAGAGGTTTGAGCAGGAGCCCAAGGGGATGGCAGGCATTAATTATCCTGGACAGGTGGCATGGGGAGGACAAGAGGACAGACGTCTTCTCTGTGCACCAGCTGCTTCCGTCAGAGGGACTGACACATTTGCACAGAATCTCATTTAATTCAGAACCTATCTGCCCTGGGGTTGAGAGGCCTTAGGCAGAGCACCTGTACCTCCCTCTCCCCCACCCCCCAGGTGTTGCAGCTGGGAGCACCTAGGAAAAGAGAGAGAAGGCTGAGCATGACCAGTCTGGGTTTGCCTCCCCCCCGGGGAATGTGCCAGGAAGGGGCAGGGTAAACAAGGTTAGGCCTGGTAAACCTAGAGTGTTAAGCTTCCTTTGTACATACTATGAAATGGACATTTTTTGGTGAACATAAATGAGAATGTGGAGTCATAGGCAAAAATGTATCTATCTATGATCGTGGACATTTCAGAGCCATTTTGAGCCAGGGGCCAGCAACTTCAGGTTTTGTGGCAACTACTTCATAGCTCTCTAGAGGGGTTCAAGTGAAAAAGAAAGAGGAATGATGGGTCTTCTGAGTCTGACTAAACTTCCAGTCTTGGTTTCCTCATCTGAAAACTGGGCACAAGGATGGGGAGAAGAGACCTTCTTTAAGGCCTCTGAGGCCTGGGATCTACCTTGGTGGGGTCTGGGGCCAGGCAGCCTTCCCCACGGGCCCTCTCCCTCCTCTCACAGCTGATCTACGATGCCGGCGTGGCCTTCGTGGTCATCATGTTCACCTGGTCTGGCCTGGCCTGCCTTATCTTTCTGAACTGCGCTCTCAATTGGCCCGTGGAAGCCTTTCCTGCCCCTGAGGAAGTCAATTACACGTGAGTGGCTGGAGTGGGCGGAGACTCTCCGCTGCGTGGCAGGGCTGTGGTAATATGATAGATGGAATTAGCTTTGGATTCGGAGAGACCTCAGCTTGGACTTCTGCTTGGCTTGAGCCCTGCAAGCTCTGCTTTCTCATCTGTACAATGGGCCTGTTCCTACCTACCTATGGGTCACTTTTGTTTGTTTGTTTCTTTAGAGGCAGGGTCTTCCTCTGTCACTCAGGCTGGAGTGTAGTGTCTTGGTCCTGGGCCACTGCAGCCTCAAACTACTGGGCTGAAGCAAACCTCTGCCTCTGCCTCCCAGGGTGCTGGGGTTACAGGCACATACCACCATGACCAGTTAAGTTTTGAATTTTTTGTAGAGACAGGGCTTACTATGTTACCCAGGCTGGCTTTGAACTCCTGACCTTAAGTGATCCTTCCACCCTGGCCTCTCAAACACTGGATTACAGGCATGAACCACCATGCCCACCTCCCATGGATGTTTTTAAGTAATAGAGTTGGCATATAACAGGTGGTCAAAACACGGTCACTATTTATTTTTTGAGACAGAGTCTCACTCTGTCACCCAGGCTGGAATGCAGTGGTGCAATCACTGCTCACTGCAACCGCCTGAGTTCAAGCAATTCTCCTGCCTCAGCCTCCGGAGTAACTGGGATTACCGGCGTGCACCACCACACCCAGCTAATTTTTGTATTTCTTAGTAGACACAGGGTTTCACCACGTTGGCCAGGCTGGTCTCGAGCTACTGGCCTCAAGTGATCCCCCTGCCTCGGCCTCCCAAAGTGCTAGGATTACAGGTGTAAGCCACTGCGCCCTGCCCATGGTAACTACTTTTGTGGGTGCAAAAGTAATTGTGGTTTTTGCCATTAAGAGTAACAGCAGGCCGGGCGCGGTGGCTCAAGCCTGTAATCCCAGCACTTTGGGAGGCCGAGGCGGGTGGATCACGAGGTCAGGAGATCGAGACCATCCTGGTCAACATGGTGAAACCCCGTCTCTACTAAAAATACAAAAAAAAAATTAGCTGGGCATGGTGGCGCGTGCCTGTAATCCCAGCTAGGCAGGAGAATTGCCTGAACCCAGGAGGCGGAGGTTGAGGCAAGTCGAGTGCACGCCAGTGCACTCCAGCCTGGGTAACAAGAGCGAAACTCCGTCTCAAAAAAAAAAAAAAAAAAACAGTAACAGCAAATATTGTTGTCATCCTTTCTGGGTTTGGAAGAGGAGATCAGAATAGGAGGCACCTCAGCAACAGCACTCGATGCCATGTGGTCCCGAAAAACAAGCACTCCTCCTTTTGTGGGGCTACCTGAATACCAACTTTTTCCAGCCCCCAATCAGTTCAGCAGAGGCAAGGGGTGATACTCCACACAAAGCACATATGGTGACATGACAGAGCTGACAGTTACGCCAGGCACTGTACTTATCGTCATACCGTCCTCAAAAGCTGTGTGATGTAGATTTGGTATCGACTCCATTAATAATATAATAACAACCCCATTATAACTGCATTAATAACTCCATGCAGGGAACAAAGTGACTTTCCAAACTTCATGCCATTCAAAGGAGGGTGAATCTTTGGTTGGACAGAGCCTGTCTGACCCTGGAGTCTGAGGTTTTTTTGTTTTTTTTTTTTTGAGACAGAGCCTAGTTCTGTCACCCAGGCTGGAGTGCAGTGGTGCGATCTCAGCTCACCACAACCTCTGCCTCCTGGGTTCAAGCGATTCTCCTGCTTCAGCCTCCCGAGTAGCTGGGACTACAGGCATGCACCACCACACCCAGCGAATTTTGTATTTTTAGTGGAGACAGGGTTTCTCCATGTTGGTCAGGCTGGTCTTGAACTCCTGACCTCAGGTGATCCACCTGCCTTGCCACCTCAAAAGCTGTGTGATGTAGATTTGGTATCAACTCCATTAATAATATAATAACAACCCCATTATAACTCCATTAATAACTCCCAAAGTGCTGGGATTATAGGTGTGAGCCACCGCGCCCGGCCAGAGTGTGAGGTCTTAATGCCACCTCCTCCGTGGGAACAGCCCAAGTGAAAAACAGCTGATCCACTCTTCATTTACTTGGCATCTGTGCTAAGCTGGTCCCTGAGCCAAGCTCTGAGTGACACAAACAGGAGCCCTGCGTTAGGGAGCTTGTGAGCTTGTCAGTGCTGGGAGAAGGGGTGCTGGACACCTTTGGGACAGCCGCCTAGCGGTAGGCTGTTGAAGGTGGGCTCTGTGTGGCTGGTTCCCCTACACTCTGGCCCGGCTGCCTGCAGGAAGAAGATCAAGCTGAGTGGGCTGGCCCTGGACCACAAGGTGACAGGTGACCGCTTCTACACCCATGTGACCACTGTGGGCCAGCGGCTGAGCCAGAAGGCTCCCAGTCTGGAGGAGGGGTCGGATGCCTTCATGTCCTCCCAGGATGTTCGGGGCATTGCAGAAAACCTTCCTGAGAGTGAGTGTCTGGCCAAGGTGCCAGCCTTGGGGGACAGGGGTGGTGGGTTCTCATATCTAGTGATCACTCATGTTCAATTATTTATTGGCGTCACTCTTCAGTCCTTACAACACCCCATGATGTACGGGGGGTGTGCTCTCCATTTACAGATGGGCAAATCAAAGCTCAGCTAACTCTGGGAAGTTCAGATTCTGGGTTACCCTGCTGGATTCCTGGAATAGGGGAGGGAGGAGCTTCCAAAATGGGGACAAGGTCTCTGGGCCCATCAGGTGGCTGGTTTCCTCAGCACCCCTTGCAACCTCTGAGGTTATTGCGTCAGGTGAAGCCAGGCCTGGGAGCCTCCCTGCAGGAGTCCTCCACACCTGGCTGGCCTATGCCCCCTGCTGGTCATGGGAGGAGCTGCACCACCTGCCTAGGCCGCTTCTCCAGAGGGTACATGAAGATGCCAGGACTGTCAGCTCCATGATAAGTGGAAGGAGCTCCTTGGAGTCAGGAGCAGGAGTTGAGGGCTTTGAGTCCTGCTCTCCAGTTATAGGCTATGTGGCTTGGGTAGATCACCTAATCTTGCTCTTGATTTCCTCACCTCTTAAGCCCACAAACTGTGAAGTTAGTAGTGATGATTGAATAACACCATGGATGTGGAAACTGTGTAAAGTGCAAAATGATGTGAAGTTTGAGGCTGGTTACCCCCAGTGCCGATTCTCAGAGGGCAGCGTGGCTAAGGGCATAAGCTGGAGTTCAGCTGACTGCTACTCCCTGCCCTGTGAGTAAAATGTGATAAGGATAGGGTTGTTGTAAGATTTGATTAAATGTAGTAATGCATGTGAAGTATGTAGCCTAGAGTGA